AATTACTCGCGTAAGATCGTTTTCTTTTCGTCGACGGGACGTTGTCGTTACCTATCAGGCTTGCGCTACGCGCTGAAGTAACGGAGGTCTGTTTCACGGCGACGCCAATGGTGAAAATAAAGAAATATAACGGATAGCAAAACCGCGAGTGCGCGATGAAAGCGGGCGATACTCGCTTACTCTCTCTTGAGCATGAATTCTAGAAATATGAGACTTTCGTGTTTAATTAACGACGGGCACGACAGACACGACTGCATCCTATACATTCTGATGTCATCGTCACGGTTTAACTCATTGAGTAAAAAGTGTCTTTTTACTCAATGGTTTAACTCACAGATGATTTCGCGATGGTTGTTCATAAAGTCCCTAGCGCAAGTCCACATCTTTGACTATACATATAAGTATGGACTGATATAGTAATTAACTTCATATGTGTCGCCAAGCTGAAAGACGTAAACTCCATCCCAGTCAGTAATTTTCTGCGGGGAAGGGGGAAGGCTCCTGTGAAATCAACGTGTTTACGACGTGTAAAGAAAAGGTGCTGAGTCTGTTTAATTTTTTTTCATTGATATGAGATTTTTTTCCGGCTCCCATAACATTTAATACATTTTGACATATTTGACATTTTTTTACTGATTGGAGTGGAGCCTAACAATTGAAGTTTGATACCTCAACTAACTTCAGCTCGGCGACATCGGGCATAAGTCTTTTACATGATAAAAGTGGGAGGACTAGCAGTCCATATTTATATTATCAAAGGTCACATTTGCTTTATCCACGATAATACAGCCATGTTTCCTCTGCGGACATACATACATGAAGATATATGTATATTGTGTGATAATAGAAATGATAATAGAAAAGTGACATAAATGAAAAACGAACATTTTTTTAATTAATAATAAAAAATTGGCCTTACAAATTTTAGCTGTTCTAATTTACTGCTATAAAAGACAAAAGTGTATTTTCTGAATATTGCTTGTCCTCTGATCAAATTCGTAATGTTTATAGAAAAAGGCTTTTTTTAGTTTAGTACCGTCAAAGAATGTTATCAACACAAAAATAATTAAAAAAGTATTTATATAAATTTTTATAATTTAAATTATATACCTGTATATAATATACATACATAAAATCGAGGGCTAAACCGCATGAGGGCGGTTTACAGATGCGGTGTACAGATTCGAGGCATTGCTAGGCATTACTGGGCATTTCTTGAGCATTATTGAGCATTGTTACGTTTTATTTTCAAATAATTGACAATCGTTTTAAATCAAACATATTTACAACACGTAATAAAGTATGAATATTAAATAAATTGTGCTGAACAATAAGATTGCGCTCTCACGATGTTATGCGTGGGGCACATTACGGTCGGTCAGAAATTGGGCATTACCTCGGGCATTACTAGGCATTGGTGTACATAATTTTGGTTAGCGGTTTATTCCTAAAATATTTGGTCCTATGGAGTTATGTCATTTTTCTTTAAAAGATATGCGATACAAGCAAGTTGCCAAAAGTTGATAAAAAAGACATAATTCAGAAATTGGTATTTTTGAGATAATGAAACACGAAAAGAACGATTTTGTTAAACACAGATCTGAAAATAATTTTATTGGACTACATCAAAGTAATTTTGTTGGAAACTCAAACTGGTTGCTAAAATATCAAAACGTTTTACATGTTTATTATTTTTGAATTTCCAATAAAATTATAACATATTTGGTGGTCTGACAAGATTATTTTCAGATCTGTATCCAGCAAAATCGTCTTTTTGTTTTTGAAGAAAATTCTAAAGACTATACTTTTTTAAAATTTTTAGATGTGTCACTTTTCTATTAGGGCTGGTGATTTCCTTCGAAGGCTTCGACATTTGAATTTCGAATCTTCGAAGCTTCGATACTTTAAACTTTGAATCTTCAAAATTCAAAATTATACAATTATTAATTTAACACGTCTACCCATCCACTGATACACACACACATTTACATCCACACACATACACACACACATACACACACGCGCGCGCGCGTGCGCACGCACACACTTAGCCACTCACCACTTTAGCATATATATATAATAATAAAATAAATAAAATTAACTTCGAAGCTTCAAAGCTTCGAAGCTTCGAAGATATCTTAAACTTCGAAAGGTCGAAGTTAACTTCGAAGCTTCGAATATTCGAAGTAGGTAAAAAGTAACAGCCCTATTTTCTATCATGACCACGATGTACTACATGGACTGAAAAGTTTCTGGAATTGGATACAAAATGACATCATATACAAAAATTAATCTTATGACTGTCGAATATATTCCTTCAAACTTCCGCTATCAAAATTTCATGATATTTCACCGAATAGTTTGTGAGTTACAGTCATTTGAACAAGTCAACGTTTGAGTTTTGTCAAAAACGAAGAAAGCCGAAATTCGTGCAGTGATCAAATATCAATATTTAAAAGGCTTAAAATCTCAAGAAATCATTGAAGTCATCGGTTTGAAGGAATATATTCGACAGCCATGAGATTTATTTTTGTATATGGTGACATTTTGTATCCAATTCCGGAAACTTTTCAACCCATGTAGTATGTCTCATGTATAAAGTTATAATTCTTTTTCCAAATCAGGAGAAACGGTAGTGACTTGGTGTCAAGTGTTTAAATATATATATGTATGTACAGTATATACAGGTGTCCCGAAATTCGCGAATCAAAATATTATAGCAAGAAAGTCTTCGAAAAATTAAGTAAATAAATTATTTTTAAATTTTTATTTATGCAGTAGTTTTTGAGATGTAAGAGTTTAAATTTAGCCAATTATAGATTACGATTAAACGAAAACATGTTCGTGAGTGCGTCGATAGTGTTAGTGGTTGCGCACTTCGCGCGCGATACTAATCTATAATTGGCTAAATTTAAACTCTTATATCTCAAAAACTACTACTTGAAATAAAAATTTACAAATAATTTTTTTTTACTTAATTTTTCGAAGACTTTCTTACTATAATATTTTAATTCGCGAATTTCGGGACACCCATACATACCATGTATATACTATTGTATATGTATATACATATGTATACCAAAATTGGCCGTGTTTAGAATGGTTTGAAATCTTCAGACAAAAATCAATGCGGTTGCTGCCCTTTGTTTACTTCAGCGTTACCATAGAACCTCGTTCGCAAAGATGAGGCAATTCGTTTCGAAAAAAAAAAAAATTATAGGTAAGCCCCCATGGTGCGCCCCACGAGGGGTGTTCGCAGATCCGTAATAATTTTTTTTTCTATCACGTTAAGAGAGAGTGGGATGACGTTAACATCGCATCTGATATTGATTAAACGCTTTTCGACAATAATAAAAACGACAAACGGAGGAAAAGGGCTAGGAACGATCGAGTTCGATCTTATCATGGCTCAATTACTCTTTGACTCTCCCAGCGAATTAATTAGGTGAGGAGAGATAAAACGAGTTATTAACGGATCTGCAAAATATTAACCCCACTGAAGATCGCGATCGTGAGAGCTGCATTTGAATAAACTTCTCCGAACTCATAATTCGTACATCCAAACTAAATATTATTAAATAATGAGACGCTACCATATTTTTTAATACTTGAAATGATATTTTGATTATTGCTTCTTTATGGCATTATATTTAGTTTTCTCTTTTGTTTTTTCTTTAAACAAATATTTTAATGTTCTGCATATACTACCTAGGTAGTATATGAAAATCAAATGATGTCATAATGATGTTAATTTTTATATTATTTGTGATTTGTAAGTGACAGATAAAATCATGATAACGTTTTTATAATATCATTTGACACAATATCAACCCAGTAAACAAAAAACACTAGATCAACATTAACATTTTAAAATATTGTTTTTATATAAATTTTATATACGTTCTTATTTAATATTTTATAAATGTGTTGAAAATATTATCTAATAATTATACTATAATATATTTCTGAATATTTAAAAAATGTCTTAAATACATTATTCTAAATATTTTATAAATGTTGCACTAATAGTAATATTAGCGCAATATCATTTGCAACAATATTTCACTTTTATATCAATATTATTGAAACTTTCAGATAGGCGTAAAAGTTTGTTCATAAGACGTTATACACAACATTAAGAAATACTAAAATTATATATTGTTGAAATGATATTTTATTTACTGACGTGAGAATATGATTTCTGTGTTCTAGCTGGGTAGGGAGCATTCCATTTGACGTTCGCGGGCATCATTCGTTTGTTTAACATTTTATAAACAATAAGGATAAAATGAGCATTGCGAGTATTACGCAGCTATAGTATTACTTTTAAAATGATTGTTACTCTTATTCATTAATTTTTTGACAGTTTTGTAAAAAAATGTTAAATTTTTTGAGAAACTTTTTTTTATTAAATATAAACATATTTTTCTACATTTTTAAAAGTTCTTTTTAAATTTGGATTTGTGCATTAAATTCCGAATTATGTTAAATTTCGTGTTAATTATTACCTAGCATTCTTATGACCTTTTCATGACTGCTTCGCAGATTTAAAATGTGATAGCAAATGTAATTATCCGCGCGAACACCGCGCCGATGACGTAGAAGCAGAAGGTGATGCAACTGCTAAACAATAGGTCTATTAAGGCCACATTTTCTACACCTGCTGCACTTGAAGCAAGGCATATGCAAAGCATGATTTTTGCATGAGAAAAATACGAAAAAAACTGGTGTGTAAAAAGCGCGAGGGATAGAACGTGAACACGAACACGCAACCAATATCGCGTCAACGTCGAAGTTGTAATTCCCACTGCAGTCTCGTCGAGAGTTGCGTATAGATTTACCATTTGGATGCATCAAGGTATCATTTTGTCCTTGTCGTTTACCGAATGTTGAACAAGGATAAAATGATACCTGGATGAACCCAGGTGGGGAATCTGATCGCACCCCAAATAAGAAATTCGTCGCGGGGAATACGACTGGCGGATAAAAGTATAGTGTACCTTGCACGGTTCCTTGCTCTTGGTACGGCAGAATCCGGGCATTTTGATCCCGCCGATCGGTATTTTCTTCTTCGGTTTTTGTTCCTCGGATTCGAGATCGGGCGCAGGTGCGGCGCCGGTGTGCTTCGTGTTCTCGGCGTTCAGCATCCTCTGTCTCTCCTCCTCGGCAATTTCCTTCTTATCCATGCTTTTGTCTTGATCCGTCTGACTCATTCTCTGTTCCTGAAATCGAGAACGGTGAAAGTCCCGCGTTTAATTAAGCGTCTGCAGGTATAAATCTTATCGCAAATTCGATCTTGACGTATTAATCGATTCGAGGCAACCGTTTGCTCGGGCAAGCAGGAGCTTAAGACATTACACAACGGCCACGCGTCGGAATTTCATCGCCAAGAATCGTTTTTAAATTTAATAGAGTCCGTGATTGGAGGACCGTCTGTGGGACATTCGGTACACTAATCGCATTCAATTACTATTCAACAGTTGTCACTTGCTACGCGCAAAGATGGCATAGCGGACGATATTTTCTCATCATCTTTATTCACTACTTTGAGGCACGCTAATCGGCTCTCCAAGGTATAACTGTGCCGAGTTATTACATTATAATCAAGACTTTATGCGAATCTCTTCAAAATATTACTCGAGATTTTTCGTCATATAATTCGAGAATAAAATTAAAGTTAATAACTTTTTTTAACATTTTCTAACAAGAAATGTCTCGTTTGCCTAATATGGGTACTTATCGAGACCATCCCGAGTAGCTTGTTTACTTTAAAAATTATATCTGTATGGCAAATTGTCATCTTTTGCCTTAGATATGACACTGTCAGATATATTATACATATAAGCACGTGCAGAAAAATTATCATGTTTAAATGGAATATCACGAAAACACTGTTTTGCCGAATTTTTTTCGCAATAAAAACAAAAACATAATTTCACTTGTAAGAATAGTTTTTTTTATACGGAAAGTCTTCTCGTGTGTACACGGAAAGAACAATTTTGCTGAAAGCTCCTCTAGTCTAGTAGCTAGATACAGATCTGAAAATAACTTTTTAAAACCATCAGAATAATTATGTTGGAAAATGGTTGTCAGAATATCAAAAATTTTTTTAACATTTCTCATCAATATTACTAACACATAATTATTTTGATGGTCTAATAAAATTACTTTTAGATTTTTATCCAGCTTAATTTTAGGATCTTTAAGGATTCAAAATCGTTCTTTTCATGTAGTCATTAATTTCTATAATATCTCAAATGTATTTCCTGGTTTATAAGATTTGATAATCTTCAAAAACAGTTATGCAATGCAAAACTTCAACAATTGGATTTTCATCGAAGATGTTATATTCGATAATAAAGCATTATAATAATTTACGGTCGTGTGTGCATCAATCTAAGAAACGTTGCACAATCTTCGCAGAGCATGGTCGCTTAAATGGTTTAGCGTGCTACCCCGATCAACTAAATTTAATTTGATTTACCGCAGCTGATTGAGCTACTCTATCGTGACGCATCAGGACTGCAACTAAATTCACGAAAAGAAAATATCCGTGTGACATTAATCTGAAACGAGTATTTAAATAGATAAGAATTTCAATAGAATTCATACTCGTTTATATCTAATACCTCTATCAAGCTAGCAGAACCAAATGAGCAGAATCAAACCGGACCTATCCAATTTTTTAGTACTCAATTTGTACTAATTCGTACCACCAATAAAAATTTTGTACCTCGTG